CGAGTTAAGACGACGATCGTCTTTCGATGTTTTTAATTGTAATGGGGGAAGGATGAATCCGTCTCTATTTATCTCTGGATTTAGTTTTTAGAAATAATTCGAAAATTCTTTGAGCGCGAGAAGGAATATCGGGACGCGGGGAAGGTACAAATGTTTCTCGAAGAAGGGAAGAGGTGCGGGGAGGGAGGAAAGCGGCCCGATGAAAAGCAGTTATCCGATGAACCAAAGAATATCCGATAAAGTTCTATCAAGATAATGGAGCAAACCGACGAAACTTTCTTTCCCATTCCGAAGGCAATCTCTGCGGATAACTCCGCCTTTATATCAAATTTCCCTCGATCGATCGATCGCTTAACTCTCGCCGCTCACTCCCACGTTTTCCCTCGATCGGTCACGAATAATAAGCGAGTATTTCGATTTTTCCCTTTCTAGCCAAGAGAAAGAGGAAAAGAGAGAGATCTATCGGTTCGATTTTTCGAACGGAGCCCTCAAATCGCGTCGCAAGATCCACGCTCGAACGGCGAAACGAGTTTCCGGTCCCAGTGGCAGGCCGCCCCACCTGAAATTGAATATATGAATGCGAAATTTCAGCGGCGCTCAGGTCCGCCGAGGATTCGACTTTCGAATCCGGTGGAAAATAGCGACTCGTTAGGCGCCGCTTCCACGGAGAAACACGGCCGAACGAATTTTAATTAGAACCCTACCACGACGATGACGACGACGAGTCGCGGGGAAATGCGCGTTTGTTCCCGCGCCCATGTAAAAAACCGGCTTGATTACGTCTCCCGCGTGAATCTCCAATCCTGCGCGCATGCCTCGAGAGCACGGTGTGGTGAAATAAAGCGATCAATTAGGCGCTCTTTTAGCGCGGCCAAAAATTAGAATAATTGACAAACTCGCAAGCGAGGGAATTTCGTTCGAATTTGAGGTGTGAAAAGAAAAAAGGAAAGTGTTTGTAAAATTAATTCTCGAAAAAAAAGAAGACTTAACTGATAAATCTTACCCTCGTTTCGCGCGACGAAAGAAATCTTTATTAATAAATCGTGGATACAGAATTTTTCTTCGATGCTATAAAAAATGGATTCCTTCTTCTTCCAAGATTCGTTTCAAGGATTCGACGAGGATCGAATAAGAGGAGATAGATATTAACGAACAACGCGGCTCTATCCTCGAGGCGTATCGATTTTTCGAGCCGAAAAATTCATCATCCGCGTTTCTTTCGAACGCGGATGAGCGAACACGACCCACCACCTCGCGTTGCTCGTCCAAGCGTAGGAGAGGCCGTTTCGCTCGAATCAATCACTCGACGGAACATCGATACGCGGGTAATCGCTGGATTAAAGGATAACCAAGGATAATTACTCGCCGTTCGATCCGGATGCAATCAATTCTCGATGCGTTATAGTTGGCGCTAAACCCAAACCCACCAGCTTTCTGTCCCCCGTGATCACTCGCATCCGTCTTCCTTCCTGCCGATTCTTTTTCCGCCCTCCAATGCCTCGATCTAACTGGGACTAAACCTTTAATGCGACCCTCCCTCTGCTCGACCAGCTGCGCTTTTAATTTCTCCTACCAGTGGTAAGTAATTTCTTCTCCAACTCGGCCAAGTGGTGAAGTTTGCATTTGTTTTATTTTCCACGATGGATCTCACGCTCCGATGATATTAAATGACGAGATTTGAAGCAAACAGTTTCGAAGTAAAAAGATTTTTAATCCTCGATGATCTCGATGACGTATAAGTTGAATGGCGGCTCTCGAAATTTCGTTTCTTGTCAAAATATATATTTTTAAAGGGAAAAAGAAGTCTCTGTAATTTAACACGTTTGCCATTTAAAGAGAAACATTTCGATTGTATTATTCTTCTATAGAATATGAAATGAAAAAAAAGGGGGAATAAAAATATAATGAGCAAGCGTTGTTAATTATTCTTTATAAAACGTGTAATCATTTTCGCCGAGTACGAAAAAAATTTCATTATTTAACGTAATAAATGTTTTACCACAAACAGACCGTGGATTTTTATGCAAAATCAAACTTTCATGAATATGAACTAAAAAAAAAAAAAAAGAAAAAATGAAGCTTAATTTGCTTTATCCTTGAAATGGCATACGATAATGCATACCATATTTTAGATATTTTATTTTAGATATTTTCTATCTTTTTGCATGTCATGTGTATTTTACAAGTTTTTGTACATTCAAATTTTGTACATAAATTTATAAATATTCAAAGTATCGCGTATAATAATACGCGAGGCATGGCAACGAACGTGTTATGCATGTAAAAATACATAAACAAACTCGGCCATCAGCTGAGAAGTGTAACATAACACTTCCATCTTTCCTATCACACAAATACAAAATATACAAATAATATAAATATACAAAAAAATGTATTCGTAAGCAGCAATCTGATACACAACTATCACGAATCATAATTAAAAAACTTGAGACGAATTTTAATTTATTTTTCACGGATGGATCCATGTAAATCCTAACTAACGAACAAGAAAAAATCCACTTTAACCCAAACCACATCCTCAAAAAAAATTTTCTCAAAATTCAATAACGAATCGAACGAAAATAATAAACAAAATTTTAAAAAACATATAACAATATAAAATTCTACGACTTCATCCTATTTACTTTTTTTATCCTCTATCGTTTATTAAATGCACGCGAGAAAGAGAGAGCTTATAAACCCTTCCGCAGGAATGTTTAGACAAAATTGCGCCACGTGCATTTTTCACGGTGAGCGCGCGAAAATTTACAGCTGTTAAAACGGCGGATATTTACCCGGCCAAATTATGCTGACCATAGTTTCGCTCTTGTTAACGCAACTCGCGTCCATCAACAGCCGCCCCCTAGAACGAGTTGCCGTGGCAAAAATATCCGTTTCCTCGAACCTCCCCCTCTTTTCGCGGGGCCATCTCTTTTTCTCTTACTTCCAACTTTCAAGAGAAAATTATCATCCGGCCGGAATTTCGCGGTACGAACTCGTTTCGTAAAAAAAAGAAAAAAAAAAAAAAAAAAAAAAAAAAAAAGGG